TATGGCAGACGCAGGCACGTTGAACAGGCCGGTGGTAGACGCAGGCAGGTTGAACAGGCCGCTGGTAGACGCAGGCAGGTTGAACAAGCCGGTGGCAGACGCAGGCACGTTGAACAGGCCGCTGGTAGACGCAGGCAGGTTGAACAAGCCGGTGGCAGACGCAGGCACGTTGAACAGGCCGCTGGTAGACGCAGGCAGATTGAACAAGCCGGTGGCAGGCACGTTGAACAGGCCGCTGGTAGACGCAGGCAGGTTGAACAAGCCGGTGGCAGACGCAGGCACGTTGAACAGGCCGCTGGTAGACGCAGGCAGGTTGAACAAGCCGGTGGCAGACGCAGGCACGTTGAACAGGCCGCTGGTAGACGCAGGCAGGTTGAACAAGCCGGTGGCAGACGCAGGCAGGTTGAACAAGCCGGTGGCAGACGCAGGCACGTTGAACAGGCCGCTGGTAGACGCAGGCAGGTTGAACAAGCCGGTGGCAGACGCAGGCACGTTGAACAGGCCGCTGGTAGACGCAGGCAGGTTGAACAAGCCGGTGGCAGACGCAGGCACGTTGAACAGGCCGCTGGTAGACGCAGGCAGGTTGAACAAGCCGGTGGCAGACGCAGGCACGTTGAACAGGCCGCTGGCAGACGCAGGCAGGTTGAACAAGCCGGTGGCAGACGCAGGCACGTTGAACAGGCCGCTGGCAGACGGAGGCAGGTTGAATAGTGTGTCGAAGTTTGTGGAATGGAATGGTCATGGTGGCCCCTGGCATTAGCCATGATAGCCCCTGACAGTGATGACTGTGGCCCCGGAGGCCCTGATAATGATCTTGGAGGCTCTAGGGGCCCCTGAGTGACCATAGTGGGCTCTGGTGGCCCTAATCGTGATCATTGGTGGCCCTAGGGGCAATGATAGTGCTCGTGTTGGCCCTAAAATGATCACGGAGGCCCTGACAGTAACCATGGTGGCCCTGGTGGTCCTAACAGTGCTGACGGTGGTCGTAGCAGTGATGATAGTGGCCCCTAACAGTGATGACAGTGGCCCCTAATAGTGATGACAGTGGCCCCTTGACTGCTTTTCAATACCAAACACAGGGCGGGGTCCAACAGCATGCACATGTGGGGGAAGCCAGTTACTTTACCGCACGTGTGTTTGGGTATTTGCATGTGTGGCTGTGACGCGTGCTTGTGTGTGCATGTGTGTGTTCTGCCTCGCTTGGTTTACACCTCTGTCCGGTCAACGTGTCAACAAGGCCCCCGTTCGTCGAGCTGGCAAAGCGTGATTAGTGCATCATCTCCCCGCTGCTGTGAGTGGGAGACGGGTCTCTGACTGCTGCCTCCTCCGGCACGTACTGGTATCTTGATATCCACTACGGGTTCACCATAGCCCGTGCTACTTGCAACTTCTTGCTCCAGGTAGCGAATCTATAACAACAACAGGTATCTTGAACACGTCGAATTAGAACACGCTTGTTAGCGCTGGATGTTTTCCGGAGGTGCTCCTGCTGCTGATATCCGAACATTCCTCATCCGGACACTCAGTTATTTGTGTTTGGCTCTCAGTTGGGGGTAAGTGGAGATATGTTACCTCATTCCTTCAGTGTGAGGTGTCTCGTTAAACGAAGTGTCTGGTTAAACGAGACTCCTGGTTAAACGAGACTCCTGGTTAAACGAGGCTCTTGGTTAAACGAGGCTCCTGGTTAAACGAGGCTCCTGGTTAAACGAGGCTCCTGGTTAAACGAGGCTCCTGGTTAAACGAGGCTCCTGGTTAAACGAGGCTCCTGGTTAAACGAGGCTCCTGGTTAAACGAGGCCCCTGGTTAAACGAGGCTCCTGGTTAAACGAGGCTCCTGGTTAAACGAGACCCCTGGTTAAACGAGGCTCCTGGTTAAACGAGGCTCCTGGTTAAACGAGACTCCTGGTTAAACGAGGCTCCTGGTTAAACGAGGCTCCTGGTTAAACGAGACTCCTGGTTAAACGAGACTCCTGGTTAAACGAGGCTCCTGGTTAAACGAGGCTCCTGGTTAAACGAGGCTCCTGGTTAAACGAGGCTCCTGGTTAAACGAGGCTCCTGGTTAAACGAGGCTCCTGGTTAAACGAGGCTCCTGGTTAAACGAGGCTCCTGGTTAAACGAGGCTCCTGGTTAAACGAGGCTCCTGGTTAAACGAGGCTCCTGGTTAAACGAGGCTCCTGGTTAAACGAGGCTCCTGGTTAAACGAGGCTCCTGGTTAAACGAGACTCCTGGTTAAACGAGACTCCTGGTTAAACGATCTTCTGGTCAAATGATTATTATTATTTTCACATTTATTGTTTCACGCAACAATAGAAATTGAATGTTGAAAAAGACGTAAGAGTTCGTCACTCGTCGTTCTGCAGAAATAACTACTTATTTATTGGATTACAATTTCTTTTTTCATTTGTTAAATGGTCATGCTCGCAGGCACAACAGGAACGGTAGTTTATCTAGTCCCAAGACCAGTCCTCTTCCTGTTACACTGTCCTGGGACCAGTCCTCTTCCTGTTACACTGTCCTGGGACCAGTCCTCTTCCTGTTACACTGTCCTGGGACCAGTCCTCTTCCTGTTACACTGTCCTGGGACCAGTCCTCTTCCTGTTACACTGTCCTGGGACCAGTCCTCTTCCTGTTACACTGTCCTGGGACCAGTCCTCTTCCTGTTACACTGTCCTGGGACCAGTCCTCTTCCTGTTACACTGTCCTGGGACCAGTCCTCTTCCTGTTACACTGTCCTGGGACCAGTCCTCTTCCTGTTACACTGTCCTGGGACCAGTCCTCTTCCTGTTACACTGTCCTGGGACCAGTCCTCTTCCTGTTACACTGTCCTGGGACCAGTCCTCTTCCTGTTACACTGTCCTGGGACCAGTCCTCTTCCTGTTACACTCTCCTGGGACCAGTCCTCTTCCTGTTACACTGTCCTGGGACCAGTCCTCTTCCTGTTACACTGTCCTGGGACCAGTCCTCTTCCTGTTACACTGTCCTGGGACCAGTCCTCTTCCTGTTACACTGTCCTGGGACCAGTCCTCTTCCTGTTACACTGTCCTGGGACCAGTCCTCTTCCTGTTACACTGTCCTGGGACCAGTCCTCTTCCTGTTACACTGTCCTGGGACCAGTCCTCTTCCTGTTACACTGTCCTGGGACCAGTCCTCTTCCTGTTACACTGTCCTGGGACCAGTCCTCTTCCTGTTACACTGTCCTGGGACCAGTGAACAAAATAATAGTGAAATAGTAGAACAAACTGGAGGCAAAAGTTGGAGAGGCCACGACGGTAAAAGATCCGGAGGTTAATGAATGTTGAAGGTACCAATGGACCAGATAGTCGGAAAGGCGAGAGTACGGATACCCCACAGGACACGCACAAGTATACATTTGTAAGCCCATTCAGCTATGTATACATTGGTAGGCACATATAGGCGAGTACACATACACACAGCTATTAGAAAGAACTTTTATAGTGTCAGAGTGGTTGAGAAATGGAATGCATTAGGAAGTGATGTGACGGAGGCTGACTCCATACACAGTTTTAAATGTAGATATGATAGAGCCCAATAGGCTCAGGAATCTGTACACCAGTTGATTGACGGTTGAGAGGCGAGACCAAAGAGCCAGAGCTCAACCCCCGCAAACACAACTAGGTGAGTATAGCTGATGGGAAGTTGCACATTTTTAATGAGATGTTATTTTTTTTGCGACGTGAGTGACAAGAGAATGGGAGGCAACGGGACAGGCATCACCAGCGATATCTCCTCCTCACTGTGGTGGTTGTGGTGCCTTCAGCTCCCCTCTATGGACGGATCTTACCTGTCCAAGGTCGTCACGTGTCAACTGTCATCTAGATGGCCCCCGAATGTCACCAACACTTGATACACAAGTCATTGGTCTGAGACTCCCGGTCACTCCCATTCTGGCTCCCCGCTTTGTTTACACTTTGGGGGACTGTGTTTGGGGACAGGAGACGACGACTTGTGGCTACTGTTAGCAGGTTGACAACTTTCATCTTTCTCATTGTAAGTCTTAGTCTGCAAGTTTTGTTCTGGATCTCTCTCTCTCTCTCTCTCTCTCTCTCTCTCTCTCTCTCTCTCTCTCTCTCTCTCTCTCTCTCTCTCTCTCTCTCTCTCTCTCTCTCTCTCCTCTCTCTCTCTCTCTCTCTCTGTCTCTCTCTCTCTCTCTCTCTGTCTCTCTCTCTCTGTCTCTCTCTCTGTCTCTCTCTCTCTCTGTCTCTCTCTCTCTCTCTCTCTCTCTCTCTCTCTCTCTCTCTCTCTCTCTCTCTCTCTCTCTCTCTCTCTCTCTCTCTCTCTCTCTCTCTCTCTCTCTCTCTCTCTCTCTCTCTCTCTCTCTCTCTCTCTCTCTCTGTCTCTCTCTCTGTCTCTCTCTCTCTCTGTCTCTCTCTCTCTCTCTCTCTCTCTCTCTCTCTCTCTCTCTCTCTCTCTCTCTCTCTCTCTCTCTCTCTCTCTCTCTCTCTCTCTCTCTCTCTCTCTCTCTCTCTCTCTCTCTCTCTCTCTCTCTCTCTCTCTCTCTCTCTCTCTCTCTCTCTCTCTCTCTCTCTCTTCTCTCTCTCTCTCTCTCTCTCTCTCTCTCTCTCTCTCTCTCTCTCTCTCTCTCTCTCTCTCTGTCTCTGTCTCTCTCTCTCTCTCTCTCTCTCTCTCTCTCTCTCTCTCTCTCTCTCTCTCTCTCTCTCTCTCTCTCTCTCTCTCTCTCTCTCTCTCTCTCTCTCTCTCTCTCTCTCTCTCTCTCTCTCTCTCTCTCTCTCTCTCTCTCTCTGTGCTGTGAACATTTTAACAAGTATGCCATGAGCACCTATACTACCCAGTGACAATTAACGAACCAAAACACCACCTGCATTACTCTCCAACAATATCCCTACTACTGGCGTCCCTCAAGGGTAGCAGAGGCACCTCATACGTTCATTGTGGAGCCTCCAGTGGTCGACTGACCGCGTGTCATCCAGCGAGGAAGGAGAGAGCCTGTATATACCAGAATGATAGAAGCGAAGGACTCACCTGTGATGGCGGAGGAGTGTGATGATGACACGAGACACTATACAGGGTTGATGTCGTGCTCCTCCACACCATCCTCACCACACTCTGCCACAATAACCACTATAACAACAGTCCACAAGGAACCAGTTCACCGTTTAGATCTTTCCGATATATATATAATTTTCGTTGCTTCAATCACTGAAATGTTTGCGGTCTGTCAAGCAAAACTTAGTTTCACAACTCTTGTCAATTTTTCGCGGGTCGTAGAGGCCAATACGACTTAACACGACCACCGAAGTCGTACACAGTAGACGAGGCTGTTAGCCGGGAACCAGGCGGCCGGCACTCTCTCCCTCTCAGCGTTACCATCTCTCTTAACTACCTGCAAGCAAAATGATGTCTGCGTCATTAGACATTTCTCACCACGTCAATTATAACAATTTGAAAACAATGTATGTTAATAGACCAACAGTATCGATATTATACCGTTGCTAAAATCAGGAGGATGCATAGTATCATAACTAAACACAGTTAAACTGTGTTTAGAGGCTGCAAATTACGGTGTGTTGGAACACAGTGACATTATTCAAACGACCACGGTGAGTAACATCATATGGTTACACAGTAGCGTGACATCACTGTAACACACCATCAGAAGGCTGCACAGTTAACATCAATGAGCTTACAAGGCTGGATTAAACAGGTGAAGTGACTGATTAAACAGGTGTACTGACTGGACTAAACAGGTGTAGTGACTGGACTACACAGGTGTAGTGACTGGACTAAACAGGTGAACTGACTGGACTAAACACATGTAAAGGAGTCGAACAAATTAAGAACATTTTGAGACACTTTACATTGTAAATGATACACAGTGTAATCATTTATACTCTTCTGAGGTCTAGTTCATCAAGACATACGAATGGTAGCATGTACTCTGAACACACAGCTCGTGTAACAACAATGTTACATGTAACATTGTGTTACATAACATTACATATAGCAACGTAACATTCTCGTGTAACAACAAACATAACATCAATGATCCCACATCTGTTGGGATGATGTGGGATCAGATGATCCCACATCTGTTGGGCTTAGAATGCATCTCAACTCACTATCTCCTAGTGACGGCAATTCCTTAACTACATATACAGCAAATTGATTTATTCTATCAATAGAATAAATTGCATTATTCTACCAATAGCGTTGATACAACATTATGAACATCACTCATTCGTAAGATGTGTTAAGTTTGAATTATGTTGACTTCCTTTTTTAGCAAAGATAGTGACAGCCGAATACCGTGGACAATATAGCAGTGATATAGGGTTAGGCGGTTGGTTTTCTTAAGACAAACATTCGTTTGTGAGTTATTTCTTGAAGTGTAGGTGTGGGCGTCAGGCCAGACAAGGAGGCTGGTCAATATATGCATGGATAGTCAAGATCTGGTCAATGTATGCATGGATAACCAAGATCTGGTCAATATATGCACGGATAACCAAGATCTGGTCAATATATGCACGGATAACCAAGATCTGGTCAATATATGCATGGATAACCAAGACCTGGTCAATATATGCAAGGATAACCAAGATCTGGTCAATATATGCATGGATAACCAAGACCTGGTCAATATATGCATGGATAGTCAAGATCTGGTCAATATATGCATGGATAACCAAGATCTGGTCAATATATGCATGGATAACCAAGACCTGGTCAATATATGCATGGATAACCAAGACCTGGTCAATATATGCATGGATAACCAAGATACGTCTTGAACACGTTCTTCCTGTACCAAGGTCAACATTTGACAAGTGCCGGCTAACCCGTCCTCTTAAATAGTACGTCTTATTTTGGACGTTAACGTCTCCTGACGTAAAAAATTACAAAGTGCTTTGAAAAAGTATTGATCCTGCGTCTCTGTTCACCCGGAACGCACGCATTATCATCCAGGCCAATTATTTGAATAAGTAGCGACTCGCAAATATCCCCGTTTTTCAGCATCGGTAGGTTGGGTTTGGTGGGTTGACTGGGTTTGTACGTTTTTGGTTAGTTTAGTACTTTGTACTTTGTGGCAAACAAAGAGTTCAGCTGAGTTCAGAGTCATATATACTGAGATACTCTTAACTAACTGTTCGTCTAACCAGAGGTCAAGATGGACAAATTTACTCGGTATAACAGTATTTCTTTCGCTATCATTTCTCAGAAAGCATCCGAAAATTGTGCAGGAGTTTGTACGAATATTTGACTGGAATCTCTCTGCCTGGTAGGTTTGTTCTAAGGTCTGGGTAATGAAGCCTGAGCGTTCAAAACACAGGAAAACACGTTAGCCTAGTATTGCACATGTACTAGTACATGTGCAGTACTAGGCTAGTAAAAGCCTAGTCCCGCTCACGCCGCAGTCAGCTCTCAGACAAATCAGCCAATCTCTCAATCAAATCAAATCAGTCAGCTGTTTCAGCCAGTCAGCTCTCAGACAAATCAGCCAATCTCTCAATCAAATCAAATCAGTCTCTGTTTCAGCCAGTCAGCTCTCAGACAAATCAGCCAATCTCTCAATCAAATCAAATCAGTCTCTGTTTCAGCCAGTCAGCTCTCAGACAAATCAGCCAATCTCTCAATCAAATCAAATCAGTCTCTGTTTCAGCCAGTCAGCTCTCAGACAAATCAGCCAATCTCTCAATCAAATCAAATCAGTCTCTGTTTCAGCCAGTCAGCTCTCAGTCAAATCAGCCAATCTCTCAATCAAATCAAATCAGTCTCTGTTTCAGCCAGTCAGCTCTCAGACAAATCTGCACTCTTTCAGTAGATCATATTACACGGCAAATGATAAAAATCTAAAACAGCTTCTAGTGTTACTCTTTTGAAGAACACATTTATAATAACTATAATTCGTTATTTTTTTTGGTTAATAAACCCAGCCTCATGTACTTTTTGTAACCATGTGGACGATCAAACCAACATGTTGTAATTATCCCCCAGTAACCCACCTTTTGTATTATTTTGTTATTGTCCGGGAAAAAAATAAAGTTCGAACTTATATATTCCCAGGCTTAGTATAGCACATATATATGTACTATATTAGGCCTAAGCGTTTAGTAGGCCTAGGATGATTAAGTTTTATTACTAACCTAAATATATAAACGTTTCCGGTTTGTCTAAATTCAGTACTACAAAAGCCTATTAATTTTGGTCCATATTTGAACTTTCAAAACATAGTTACATTATATATATACGGCCTGGTATATATATATGTACACTTCAGGCATGTATCGAGGTCCCTGGAAGGTCGGACTATTAACCCTTCCCAGGATGCTACCCACAACAGTTGCCTAACTCCCGGGTATATATATATATAATATATATATATATATATTTTTTTACTGCTAGGTGAACAGAGACATTAGGTGAAAGAACACGTATCCAACTATTTGTATGTTCTCTGAGAGGTTTGGTGAGTTTAACTTTGTTAAACATAAAGATAGCGATGATGCCCATTACTTTAATTATCACAAGGCTGCACAGTAGCACAACAGAGCACGATAAGGCTGCACAGTAACATAACAGACCATTACAAGGCTGCACAGTAACATAGCAAAGCACCACAAGACTTCACAGTAACATAACAGACCATTACAAGGCTGCACAGTAACATAGCAAAGCACCACAAGACTGCACAGTAACATAACAGACCATTACAAGGCTGCACAGTAACATAGCAAAGCACCACAAGACTGCACAGTAACATAACAAAGCACCACAAGACTGCACAGTAACATAACAAAGCACCACAAGACTGCACAGTAACATAACAGACCATCACAAGACTGCACAGTAACATAACAAAGCACCACAAGACTGCACAGTAACATAACAGACCATCACAAGACTGCACAGTAACATAACAGACCATCACAAGACTGCACAGTAACATAACAGACCATCACAAGACTGCACAGTAACATAACAAAGCACCACAAGACTGCACAGTAACATAACAAACCACCACAAGACTGCACAGTAGCCTCACAAGGGTGCTCACCAATATAACAAGAGCATGACAAGGGTTGCACAGTAACACAAGGCTCACTACCATTGACCCCTGGAGAAGTGGGCGCGGGTGACCGGTGATCAGAGAGGCGCGCGGCCACTGGGCGGAGAGCGACAGACTAGCCTCCCTGACGGCGTCCACGGCCACACTGACTTGACTCTCAGAAACGTTGCTGCAGCTTCACGCACCCTGTCACGCTCACGAACACGGGTGACGTCACGCGCTGGGTAAACACCGATGGTCCGTGCTTCCTGCACCCTCTCTCTCATCCTGTGGTATGTGTTGTCCACCTGCTCATCACATCATCAACGTGGCGTGCAATGTTTTCTCCCATTCAGGCCATTTATTTTGTTTTTTAATTGGTTTATTTCATTATATAAACATTGCAGATCTTGTGGGTCAAGTGCATTGCCAGTGAACGTTACTGGAAGCCATGTGAATTTGCATTCTAATGAGTAATGTTCAAAGGAATGTTGCAAGGATCGTGTGCTGTGGGAAATAAGAGTTTGAAGTGCAAAGGCCTGCGGGACGCGCTCTCAGGATCTGAGCCAGAGTTCAAAGGACATTGAGGATGCTCTCTGAGGATCTGAGACGGAGTTCTAAGGACATTGAGGATGCTCTCTGAGGATCTGAGACGGAGTTCTAAGGACATTGAGGATGCTCTCTGAGGATCTGAGACGGAGTTCTAAGGACATTGAGGATGCTCTCTGAGGATCTGAGACGGAGTTCAAAGGACATTGAGGATGCTCTCTGAGGATCTGAGACGGAGTTCTAAGGACATTGAGGATGCTCTCTGAGGATCTGAGACGGAGTTCAGAGGACATTGAGGATGCTCTCTGAGGATCTGAGACGGAGTTCAAAGGACATTGAGGATGCTCTCTGAGGATCTGAGACAGAGTTCAAAGGACATTGAGGATGCTCTCTGAGGATCTGAGACGGAGTTCAAAGGACCTTGAGGATGCTCTCTGAGGATCTGAGACGGAGTTCAGAGGACATTGAGGAGGCTCTTGACTTTGCATCCAAACGTTTTGGAATGCTTTCTGAGAACCTAAACCGATTCAAATAACTTTGTTGATGCTTTTAGATGACCTAAACAGTGATTCAGGTTACCTGTTTTGATTACTTAAACCTGAGTTAAATAGACCTGGATTATTTTTTTTTTGAGGACATCTCTACTGTAGTTCAAAACACTTTAGAGATTCTCACGACACTTAAACCGGGGTTAAAAGCATTTTAAGGATGCATTCACGACACTTAAATCAGGGTTCAAAGCACTCTAAGGATACTCATTCACAACACCTAAACCGTGCCTCAAAGCACTTTAAGGATGGACTTACGACACCTAAATCAAGGGTCAAAGGACGTTAAAGATGCACTTACACCTAAACCGGGGTTCAGAGGACCTTGGGAATGCCTTGTGCGGAATGTGAACAAAAATATATGTTATTATTGAATTCTCAGTTTTACGTGATCGCGGTTGACCATGATTGACAACAGAGAAGGAATGGGGGAAGGGGGTGAGAGCTGTGCGGGGAATGGGTGAGAGTCGCCTAGGGGAATGGGGAAACACACCACAGAGAAAATAGGGAGAGAAAATATAGACGGCAGAGACGGAATATGGTATAGGAGAGAGAGAGTGAGTGAGTGAGTGAGTGAGTGAGTGAGTGAGAGAGAGAGAGTCGCCCCTAAACACGACCGTCACCAACATTGCAGCAGTGAATGTGCCCGTGAAACAATATCTGAACATGAAAATTTAAATTTAACGGTCTATTGTGCGGTCGTTAGATGAGGTGTTTCTTGTGACACCTGCTGGGAAAATTGCCTTCCAGAGGCAGGCAAACACGGGAACTGTTGTGGTATGTACCTGGGCAGTGTTGGTGTACTGTACCCCGTCTAATTGTTCTCACACCAGGTGTGCTTGTAGGAGGTTGAGCTTCGGCTAATTGGTCCCGCCTCTCAACTGTCAACAAAGTGGTGTACAGGATCCTCAGCCTATTGGGTTCTATTATATCAATATGTGAAACTGGAGTTTCAACAGTCATTGTAAATGTGATTCACTTGGGTTCGTGTTCACCTGTCTTCTTGTATGAGCATCATTCGTTTTCAATAATTTGTCTTTGTTTACACTATCAAATTTCCCACATATATTTTATGATGTAATCATGTCTGCCCCTAACCTCGTCTGCCTCTAGTTTCCTCGTAACTCTTGCCATAATTAGTACTCTATAGCTAATTTTTCAGCAGTACTTAGTACTCTGTAGGCAATTTTCCACCTATTTTAGTACTCTGTAGCCAATTTTACAGCCATTTTAGTACTCTGTTGCCAATTTTACAGCCATTTTAGTACTCTGTAGCCAATTTTACAGCCATTTTAGTACTCTGAAGCCAATTTTATAGCAATACTTAGTACTCTGTAGCCAATTTTCCAGCCATTTTAGTACTCTGTAGCCAATTTTCCAGCCATTTCAGTACTCCTTATAGTGAATGGTGTGTATTTTGTGTGTTAATAATATTTCGAGAGAAGCTTTATCACCTACTTTCTGGCAGTCTAGGAATATGACGGCTACTTCCTTGCGGTCGTCGTGCATGTTAAGAGATATTAAAAAAGAAATAGTATGCTGGCGATGAGTCACAATAACGTGGCTAAAGTATGTTGACCAGACCACACACTAGAAGGTGGAGGGACGACGACGTTTCGGTCCGTCCTGGACCATTCTCAAGTCGGTTGTCTGTATGCTGGATTGGAGGCTGGACCTTAAGAGTGTTGGCGAATGAGCAGTTGAAGGTGTTGACGGTCGTTGTGGATAATGTCCCGAGTGTGTTGGGGACGTCGGGTGATGAATGGGTGGAGTGTGTTAGCGAGGGGGCGGTGAGTGCTTTACCCACGCACTTGAGTGAGGAAGAGTGTGGGTGAGGTGAGGGCGTGAGTGAGTTGCAGCTACTCTTTACAAATGACAATACCTGTCCATTTCTCACCCTGTGTGTGCTCCTCCTGCCTGCCCAACCACTTGGGCTGGACGGTAGAGCGACGGTCTCGCTTCGTACAGGTCGGCGTTCAATCCCCCGACCGTCCACAAGTGGTTGGGCACCATTCCTCCCCCCCCCCCGTCAAACCACTTGGGGTGGACGGTAGAGCGACGGTCTCGCTTCATACAGGTCGGCGTTCAATCCCCCGACCGTCCACAAGTGGTTGGGCACCATTCCTCCCCCCCCCGTCCCATCCCAAATCCTTTTCCTGGCCCCTTCCAAGTGCTATATAGTCGTAATGGCTTAATGGCGCTTTCCCCCTGAAATTCCCCTTCCCTTCCTCCTGCCACATAGTTTATCAAATTTTCTGTTTGTTAATTTTGTGTGACTAATATTTGTGTAATAACACGAATATTAGTAATGGTTTGCACAATTTTGATATATTTGTAATTTATACATTTAAAAAACGATCTTCGTAAGATCATTAATGTACAATTGTCCAATTAGGGACGTCGCTTCCTGGAACTAACAAGGTATTGGTCATTAGGCCTTCTGCAGTTTCCTCTTGTTCTTGTGTTCACGAACCAGTATTACAAAGATATTGTTTCGGGTCACCTTATATGTCACGTCCCTTTTTTTACTGCCTATGTTTCTCCCCCCCCCCCCCCCCTCCGCTGAATTGCACTGTTCATACTGCAGAAGATGTGTGATTGACACGATAGGGCTTAAGGGATTTTTGTTCCGGTTTTCCATCGTGTTAATGTAGTTTCATTTTATTCATCACTGGATAATTTCTTCGGGATTTACGCGCGCGCGCGCGCACACACACACACACACACTCTCGCGCGCGCGCGCACACACACACACACACACACACACACCCACACACACCCACACCCACACACTCACAAGTTCCCACGACACCAGTCTAAATGTGACGTTTCATTACCCTGTGATTCCCTGCCAGACTGTGCACCATCACCGCCAGTCTTCCCACGATGCTCCCACACTCACGGTGGCGACTGTCAGGTTTTGTCAAGGTTTCCCTCTTATGTTTCTGCCTCTGCTGTGGCCTCTTATTGCTAGCCGCTCTCTTAGTTTTCAAATGTTTTTTGATGTGCATTTAATCTTTTTTTGGCTCTGTGTTCTTCTGTTCTTCGTTATACGGTATTATTTCTTCACTAAAGTGTTCCTGTTGGTTTTTGTTCATTTTAGACGTCACTGTTTTGTGTGTGCAGTGTATTAATATTTTGGTTATGAGGAGTGGAGCCGGTCGGCCGAGCGGACAGCACGCTGGACTTGTGATCCTGTGGTCCTGGGTTCGATATCAGGCGACGGCGAGAAACAATGGGCAGAGTTTCTTTCACCCTATGCTCCTGTTACCTAGCAGTAAAATAGGTACCTGGGTGTTAGTCAGCTGTCATGGGCTGCTTCCTGGGGGTGGAGGCCTGGTCAAGGACCGAGCCGCGGGGACACTAAAGCCCCGAAATCATCTCAAGATAACCTCAAGATAGGGTACCACCTCCACATATTAACCACCTATGTACCACACAGGAGGTACCATCTCCTCCAGCAATATTATAAGGACCGTGTTGGTCAACGGCCAACTTCTTACACCTGAGAGGTCATTCAACGGAAACAGCATAGTCACGGAACGCTCTTTTCAGTTAACTGGTTCAAAATATTCGTTTAATGTTTGGGAATGTGCATTCTTCGGTTATAAGCTATCATCTCCGTTCTCTAATAGGCCTTGAGCTTCAAATATTTTAATTGTAATTCCCTTTTGAACGTTTGGTTTGAGAATGGCCCCATTAACAACGGTTTTGTTCGCTACGGAGGCGCCATATTCCTTGGGATTAGCTCAGAATTGCCTCAAGAGGCAATTCTTGAGGCAATTCACATAAGAATAGAGCGACCTACCATGAACACCCAAATCACGGAACTATTTACTCTACCCACCATGAGAGTAAGGACAAGACAAGAACATATCGATGCCAACACAGAAGACAATGTCCAACATAATAGGCCAATTACACTGGATTAATCTTTGTGTTTAGATAGGAGCTGCCTCGTATGGGCCAATAAGCCTTCTGCAGCCTCTATGTTTCACCTCACATTTATCCCTTATGTATCCCCCCATGTTTTCACCTTTATTGTATTATCACCTGACCCAGTGCGGGTATAAAGTCAAC